TTTCTGAAAAAAATCTTTGTGAATTTTGAGTGCTGAATGACTGCACTGACTTGTTAAAGGTAAAACTAAGAATAGAAGCTGAAATTGTCAAAACAGCAATTAAACAGCCATTTAAGCAAAATTGTTGCTAAATTCTAAAACGAGCAAAGCAATAACTAACAGCTAAAATGAGCAAAACAGCTGCTCAAAGCCTAAATGAACAAATTGCTAAAAGCTGCAGGAAAACTGAAGCTAAAGGCTTAAATTAGAAAGTGGGTGAATGCTAAAATTAGCAAGACAATAGCTAAACGGTTATCAAAGCTGTAGCTAAAAGCACAAATTAGCAAAACTGTAGCTAAAAGTTAAAATTAGGGCAACAGTAGCAAAGGAACAGAAAAATAAGCTATATATGCTACGGGAAACATGGGAATTGGAGAATTACATTTTGTTCTTTGCATACACAGTTTTAATTTTTACTATTTATAGCGCTATCAAACATTTAATTTTCTGTCTTGAATTTATGCATATGGCCTCCTGTGACCTTTCATACTGATATGAGGATGTTTTCACGATAACGTTTTATTCTGTATAACTTAGACCTATTGTTCTTATTCAGGAAAACCACCTTACAAGTTTGGTTAATTTTAAGTATTAAATTATTTCATCATCTTTAGCTGTTAACATTCCAAAGAAATGTTTTATGAGGTCTAACAGATTTAGAAAATGAAATAAAACGCACAAAAGATCAAAACCTTGGAGAATAAGACTGTTAGGCTTAGGGGGTCTTTCGTTGGGACCAAAGAGTTGAAGGTTGCCACTGGCCCCCCCAAGCCACTAAAAGATGTGTACGAGAAGCAAAATACAGCAGAACTTTAATATTTCATGTTTTTGACTACTGTTTTTCTATATATAGATTTCAAGATACTTCCAAACGTAGAGGGTTTTCATCTTGTCCAAGTTTTATACATGATTTGATTGCTTCAGCTGCATTATGTACAAGGAGCTCTACAAATAAATGTAGTTACTGTGAATCAAATTAGAAGTAAAACATTAATCTCTGTTGGACAGAAAGCTCTACAACTTGTCAGGAAACTAGATACAGTTACCCAAAGTGATGCAATAAAAGAAATTATTTTCTTTTAAAGAAATGAAAATTTCTTATCCAAATATAATAAATCAAGATTTCAGCACTTCAGCATTAAGTTTATTACTGGCTGAGTTTGACTTTACTTTTTTGTTTTTCAATAATAATGATTAAACAAAACCATTAAAATCTGCTTAAATCTTAGACTTAATCAACAAACAACAAGCAGTTTTATACTAAAGGTTTAACAAACAAACACTACAAAAGGTGACGATCCCAGCCAATCAGATCATTTCACTTTTTATGTCTTTATGAACTACGTTTCTTAAACCAGCGGATGCTGTCGTCATCTGGCAGGCTGCAGTCAAGTTGAGCTTGATTGACAGATGTATTCAGGTTCCCCTTTATTGGTTTCAGAAGAGAGAACCAGAGATGCCAATTTGGACAGGAAAGTGACATGAAGTTTCCCTCTAAATAGAATAATTCTACTTCTGGGAATTGTCAGCGGCAAAAAAAGAGTTAAGCTTCTGTTTTTCTGTCCCACCGTTGCTTTTAAAGTAGAACTGTGAATGACAAACATGACTGTTTGACACTGACAGGACATCGACTGCTTCATAGGGAGCTATGAAATAAACAAAAGATTTAAAAAAATTGAAATGTAAGATAAAAAGATTCAGCTCAATCACAGTTCAGTTTGTTTTAGACTAAGTTGGTTAAACTTACTTTTCTGCCACTTAAACAAGTTTGAAAAAAAAAAAGGTGTGGGGATCCAGAATAGGTTGAGTTGCTTCATTATACAATCCCTCTTCAGCTGACATAAATTTAAACGTACACGCTGCCCAAATCCTTTGCGAATCACAGCGCTCTAATCAAACCAGTGTCCACTTGTCATAAATCAATAATGATATAACTAAGTCATACAAGGCGGCAGTGGCAGGGGATTACGGAGCAAAGAAAGAGTGAAAAAGAAGCTCTGAGAGGGATTTTATGCATAAATCTCTCCCTGCAACTTAGCTCAAATTGAATTCAGGCGCACTGCTAGAAAAATTAATTCAGCTTTACAAAGCGAGGAGAGGTTAAACACTTTATGTGCTGCTCAGTGATCCACATCATGGAGAAAACATTTCTCTCTCGCCTTTTCTGATCTTTACTCCGAGAAACATAAACATATCTTTGAAAGCGTTCTTTGACTTTAAAACACATTTGTTTTTCATCACAAAGATGTTGTCTCGAGTCAAAATAGTAGACGTGACATTGTATTTTCATCTTTTATTTGAGAACAATTAAAAACAATGAAACTGTTATAATTTTTTTTTAACTTCTGGGCCATACTGAGGGAGTTAATGAGAAGTTATCATTTGCATCAGTCAAAGTCTCTTGGGTCAAAGTTCAGACCTGTCTATTGTTTTAGCACATCACACAACTTTTTTTTAATTGATTTGAAATTATTGACAACAGAAACTTTTTAAGGTTCTGCAATTAAATCATTATTAAATGCCACACATGCATCTTCATCACCAGGTAAATATATGACTATTTTAGGTCTGTTTGACTCAATATAGTGTTGCCAAGAAACTTAAATTTATACTTTTTCTTTCATTTAAAGTTTTTGCTTCTTAATAATTAGTCAACCAGTTTTAAACGTAAACTATATATTGTAATAGCAATAGCTTTTGAATTGATTAATTTTAGCCAAAATATAAACTAATAAATAAAAATCACTAATTGATGTTTTTCATTATAGTATTCTCTCAAAATGTAAAAACTTTCTACTTTAAATGAGTAAAGTTTAAAATTTATATAATAATACTACATAGTCCAAGTTTTATGAATATGTTTTTATAACTGACTTACCGTTTCTTAAGGTAAACATTAAAAAAGTTCAAACATTCAACGTTTTCCCAATAAGTGTTTTTCTAACAGCATATAATTAAAAAAGAAAAATCTAAAACAGGAGTTAATGTTTCTGTTTCTCAAAACTGAAAATCAAACTGTGACACTGATGTCTAAACCTGCATTAAAGTCTATTTTATATATTTTCAGCATGATTTTTTTGTGAAATTTCAATATTTTATTCTAACTTACGCTTTACAAAAACAACTATTATTATTTTTAAAATGTGAACGTTATTGATAGTTAAAATTTTGTTTTGAGTCCTGTTTTTATTTGTTTTTATTATTTATTCTTGCCTTTTTTAATGCACTGTAACCAAACAATTTTCCTATGGGACTTTGTATATTCTAATTGAATTGAAATGATTCTATGCATTAGTACCAATACGTTGTTATTAATAGTATTAATTAAAAAACAAAACAAAAACAGAATGTCCTGAATTAAAATATATTTTGCAATGAATCTTCTAATAAATGTTAATTCTGTTTTCATCACTTCAGTCAGACACACCTCGCAGACCGTTTTGCATAAAAGATTTCAGACACTTTTATTATTGTACAAGTGATACCAGCATAATGAAAGTGATACTATTCATGAACATGAAAGACATTTTTTTCTTTGCTGTATTTACAGAGAAGTGTCTTCACATCACACACACAAACAAACAAACAAACAAACAAAAAATGCTTCTACAAAAGGAACAATTTGCAAATAACGAAACATTAAATAAACTCCACCTAACTTTAGGTTTACAGCTGAATATGCATATGATGACCATCTCTGCACTGCATAGAATTTATACATAAACTTCCCCTCATGAACATTGTGGGTGATTCATAATAATAATAATAATAATAATAATAATACTGCTCATGATGCATATTGGCAGCCTGTAAATAAACAGTAACAAGAACTAAGTCTTTGGCAAAAGCAAATACATTCACTTGAAACTCTCATTCCAGTTTTATTAAAAATAAGGACTTGGCCTGAAACATATGAGGGAGCTAAAGTTGCCGGGAAAATGTTTAAGGCTTTTAGCTGAAACTGTCGCCCTGCTTTTTGATGTCTTCATTGGAATCAACAAATCAGAGTGAACCTAGACACTTCTGTTAACGAATTACACAAACGGTGATAGAGGTTTGACTTGGATGGCTGTTAAATCCTTTCCGTGTGTGTGTTTGAATGCCAAAGACTTAATGAAATAAACGGAAGCCGTGAGAACATAACATAGGATAGTGCACGTCAAAACAGTGACATGAAGGACCTTGGGTTACAACTGTAAAACTGTAAGTGCCTTTTCAGATTGAGACCTAGATTTACAGTCAGCTCTTGTTAGAAAAAAAAGGCAAATATGCACATTTTTTTTCTGCATAATAATGTTCCAGTGTTGCAAACCATCAAAATTAGTGCAAAATTAACAAAAGAAAACAATAATTAAAATAAACACTCAAAGGTTTTGCCTGATTAACTTCAAAATCCTGACAACAAAAGAACTAGTCAAACACTAGCCGAGCAGTTTGTTGTTCCAAATTATAAAAATGAAATAATAAACACATTTTAGGAACATATTTACTTGCAAATATGGAGCCACGGTGATATAGGATGACTCCTAGTTTTTTTTTTCTCGTACTGATGTTTATTTATTTCATTTTTAAATTTTTACATCTTGATTGTGTATCACAGAGAGCGTGTCCTAATCTTCTCGTGGCATCAAAAGCAATCGTTTTTTACTCATGCTGAAGGTTTGGTCAGTGCCCGCTCCAATGGATAAAACCAGCTGCCACAGCCTGCTGCTGATCTCCCCTTTCTGTGCATTGCAATTTGAATCAAATGGGAGGGAAAAAAAAAAGGAAAATGGAAATAAAAATACCAAACAACTGCTGACACATTGTGAGTTCTGGACAACGTCCCTTCTGAGAGCCATCGAGGAGAGGAATGTACAGTATTGATCCACTGTTGGATAAAAGTGTGACGCTGCAGGAGGGGGAAATAAATCCTGGATATTTTTGTCTGGTCTCTTTTTCATTTCATTCTTCTAAAACCACTCCAGTTTAATCATGAGGGTGGAAAAAAGATAATCATTCAATGTCCATCATGATGTTTTTGAGTTTTATTCTTTTGGCTTTAAAAGTCAAAAAAAAAAAAAAAAGGGAAAAATGCAATCAGAAACAGCAGTCGTCTTAAATCCCCCCAAAACTATAAAGTTTCCATTGTAATTTTTTTTCTGTGACTGTGTTGGGAACATGTATATGCGCTGCTGCTCAGAGTCCAGTGGACCGTGCCGTTCACACCGGGGCAATATGGAGGCTGAGGCCATGGTCCTGCAGGTTGATTTGGTTTCCATGGTAACTAGTGACGGTCATAGGCAGTGGCAGCAGTGGGAGGGGCGGAGCCTCTCGATGCGGCACTATAATAATAAGGGGAACCTGAAAGTTAACAGAAGAATGAACCATTTGAAACAACACATAAAGCTTTAACTTGTAAAATGACGTGAAACACTTGTTGACTGACATTCTCTGTTCACGCTCTTTTGAACAGTTTTGGGAAAAACAAACATTTAACGCTTGCTGTTGTTATTCTTGTTAAAAGTTTGACACAAGAAAAAATAATCAAAAAATGGATTTCTACTGAACTAACTGATCTGTGCAGACTCTAATGTTGCTGATTATAAGAGTGGTGGTAATAACATTTAAATAACACATTTTATATTATTCACTGGCTACAACCCCATAGCATTAGTTTTTAATGGGAATGGGGGGCTCTGCTTTTGTAATTTGTCAAATGAGGTCTTCAAATGACAAAAGCAGAGTCTGATGGTTTGAATGGTGGTGAAGCTTACATGAGAGAAGCTCTTATCCTCTACATGTTCTCTAGATTTTAATTGTAGTTGCTTGATTTAGGTCAGGGGTGCCCAAACATTTTCCCTGAGAGGGCCAAAATGAAAATCTATCCAGGGCTGCGGGCCAAATGCAGTAATGTAATACATGAAATACAAATACTTTTTAAGTAAAGTCCTTTATTTTTAATGATTAAAGTATGCAAGGGCCCTCTTTTGTTTTAGTCTGTGAACTTGGAGAAAGTCTGCCACACGCTCAAGTAGCAAAGGCTCATGGGACATTTCATAAATTGATAAAATATGAGTTTTTGTGGCCTTATAAAGTGTGCAAATCTACATGTGGGGTTAAATCTGATCTAAATATTTCTTGTTGTCGTTTCATGTTTCAAGTTTAATCCTAATAAATCAAAGATAAAGTCAGACTGAAAACTACCTTCACTAACAGCCCTTTTATATAGTCATTTGACCAATGGAAATACTGTGTTTCTACATACTGTAGATGGAAATACTGTGTTTCTACATACTGTAGATGGAAATACTGTGTTTCTACA